AAAAAAAAAAAAAAAAAACAGAGTTGTTCCTTTGGCAACATATATGCGAATCTACAAGAAAGGTGATATTGTAGACATTAAGGGAATGGGTACTGTTCAAAAAGGAATGCCCCACAAATGTTACCATGGCAAAACTGGAAGCATCTACGATGTTACCCAGCATGCTGTTGGCACTGTTGTGAACAAATAAGGGCAAGATTCTTGCCAAGAGAAGTAATGTGCGTACTGAGCATATTAAGCATTCTAAGAGCAGAGATAGCTTCCTAAAACTTGTGAAGGAAAATGACCAGAAAAAGAAAGAAGCCAAAGAGGGAAGGTACCTGGGTTCAACTAAAGCACCAGCCTGTTCCACCCAGAGAAGCACACTTTGTGAGAACCAATGGAAAGGAGCCTGAGCTACAGGAACCTATTCCCTATGAATTCACCGCATGATGGGTGTTAAAAATAAACTAATATGTGGTCTATTAAAAAAAAAAAGCTAGCTTTTTAAAAAATTATTTTATTTAACTTTATTTACTCATTTATTTATTTTATTTTGACTAGAGAGGGACAGAGTGAGAACAAGAGAGGGAAAGTGAAAATGTAAGCAGCCAGGTCCAGGACTGAACCACAATGGACCATGTGGGAATCAAGCGCCTTTAACCACCACTCTACCTGCCAACCCCAAGAAGGCTTGCTTCTTTGAGATGTTAAAAGTCTCCATAAAACACGGGCACCAACTAAAATCATTTCCATCCATTCACATTCAAAACAAAAAACATGACTATTGGAGATCAGCTGGTGGAGGTGGTTAAAGTCCTGGACATTCCCACATGGCCAACCACAATTCTAATCCTGGACCTAGAGGCTTATTTTTTCACTTTCTCCCTCTCTCTGGTCAGATTAAACAGTAAATGAATGGGAATCAGCAGGTAGTGTGTGGCGTGGTGGTTAAGATGCTGGACACTCCCACATGGCAAATCATGGTTCAAGTCCCAGACCTAGTGGCTTGCTTTCTCACTTGCCCTCTCTCTCTCCCTATCACTCTCTCTTTGGTCAAATTAAAAAATATTTTTTAAAGTAAATGAATAAATAAAAAATATATTTAAAAAAATGACTAACAGCTACCACGCTATCCAACAACGTGTAGCCTGAGGGTGGGTCCTCTCGGCAAAGGCCATAAAAATTAACAACCCCAGGTACGAGTTTAGTAAAAAGAGGACAGGCCAGAGGCAGACACAGGGCTGCTGAGACCTGCCAGGAAACCCTAATGAAGAGGACACTGCATCAAACAGGAGTTCACTGGGCCCTGACTCCCAAGGAAGACAAAGCCCGGGAACCTGGGGAAGATCTGCGAACACCAGACACTAGTTTCTAGGTGGAGTAAGAGAATTACTCGTTTTCCTGGGCCCGAGGAAGAAGAGCCTGGGCACGTCCTGGGCCACACACACTCCGGCTTTCCCTGGATAGACAACGCACCTGTGCTCCCGGGGGCAAATTTTAACACCGAAAGTTTGGGGGGACGTTTAGTCCTTTCCTCTGGCCTGCCTTGCCGCTCTGCCCCACACAACCTGCCCCACACAACCTTCAGCAAACTCCGCCTGCACCCTTCAGTTCCCGAACCTCACCTCTGGGTCCCCGGAACTTACACGGCCTTTGACTCCACCCCGTTCACACTTCCCGCCCCCTCACGCGCGCTCTGTACTTGGGTCCGCCCATACTTCCGGCCCTGCGGAGGTCGTGAGGTCGCGACTAGTCCCGCCCCCACCAAGCCTAACCCTAACCCCACGCTCTCGCCCCAACTTCCGGTACGCCCTACTCGAGGTCGCCGTCGTGGCGGGAAAGACACTCTGCCGGCCTCATAGCTGCCCACGGAGGGTCGGGGCCCTACGGCCTGGCCTTCTTCTCCAGAGAACTCCCACTGACGGGTTACACGACGACCACTTAGACGACATCCTGCTATCCCGGCTTCGCCAGACGCTCTGAACGCACCGACCAAAATGGCCGCCGCCCGCAGAAGCCGGTCCGAGCGTCGCGGGGGCGTTTGGGAGTTGTAGTCCGGCCCGACGCGCTGACGCACTTCGTCGCAGGCCGACGGGCGCCATTGTGCGGCGCGCGCCGGGTGAGTGCGGCGCAGAAGCAGCTCTCGTCGGGGGCCGCACTGGGCTGGTTGAGAGCTGCTCGTGGGAACGAACGCAGCCTCGTTCCCTTCCCTGCCCAGCTCTGGGACCCAGGACCGGCCTTCCTGCCGTCCTGCCGCCTCGGGGTCGGGAGCGGCAGTGTTGGGGACCCGGGATCCTGAGGGGAGAGGACCACCCTGGGCGTTGGGGTGGAGGGAGTCGACCGCCCCCGGGGAGTAGGGGGAATCGGTCCCCTCTAGGGCTGAGGTCGTGGAGGGAGACGACTCACTCTGCGCGTGTTCCCTTGTGAGCATGTAATTGTCATTTCCCGCCGATGAAGCTGTTTCTCGGTGAGATGGGGGGAGCCTCTCGTCGTAGCCCTTACGCCCCTCTCCACTCTGGTCTTCTCAGGATTCTACCCACTCTCACGAGAGACACACTGAGGAGGAAAGTATGACTTCCAGGCTTCCGACAGCCTGGTCCTCTGTGAGTAGAGGCTTTCAGCTTTTGAATTAGCCCCTGTACCTCACCTCCCTTATCCCACCTCCCTGAGATGGACCCATAGCACTTCAGGTAGGGGAGAGGGATTGCCTGGGCATGAGATCCCTGTCTGATGGAGAACCACAGGTTGCTCTCCCTTCCAAAGCTGTGGTAAAGGCCAGATTACAGGGGATTTTGACGGCAGGGTAGAGGTTTTTTAATGTTTCCTTTATGCTGCGAGCATAATGACAAGTCTTAAGCAGGAATCAAGCTTATGTTTAGATTTCAATAGTTACTTTGGCATCAAGTGAGAGATGACCTGAGCCGAGTTCAGTAACAAGGGGAAAAGAGAGCTGGAGGTGGATCCCTGACAGGTGAAGAAGGTAGAAGCAGCAGGGGCCAGGGTTGAAGGCTTGGGTGACTTGGGAGGCACACATATCTCAGAGTTCGAGTCCTCTGGGTAAGTTTTCATAAACCAGCGGTTCTCACTTTTTTTTATTTTTAATGTTTTTAAAAAGTCGTTTATTTAACTTTATTTATTTATTTATTTTTATTTTAATCAGAGAGGGACAGCGGGAGAGAGAGGGAAAGTGAGAAAGCAAGCCACCAGGTCAGAGACTCAAACCATGGTCAGCCATGTGGAGTCCAGTGCCCTTAACTATCACACCACCCACTACCCTGTTCTCACTTCTGTTCCTTTTTATTGTGACTACAGTAGGGTCAAGCTTGAGTTTGCTCTGGGTTTCAGACAAAGGCAGGAAGTCCAGATGATATACCCAGAATGCTTTCAGGTCATCTAGTAGACAGACTTTCTTAACTTCATGGGCTCAATCAACCTTCTCCCTCGTTCTGCCGCTGTTCGTGAGAATGGAATCTGGCTAAACAACAACCTGTGGGTTATAGGAACCAGTGACCTTTGAAGATGTAACACTGGGTTTTACCCCTGAGGAATGGGGACTGCTGGACCTCAACCAGAAGTCTCTGTACAAGGAAGTGATACTGGAGAACTACAGGAACCTGGTCTCAGTGGGTAAGGCTGGCCTCTATGTCAATAAAGATCTGTGTTTGCAGTGTGAATGTGATAGCTCTGAACTGTGTGTGCTTGGGATCAGAATAGAAGTGTAAAGCTGGAGAGCCTGAGGGAGGGAGCTTTACATTGCACCAATAGAAGGGCAACCTCCCAGTATGATGTCTAAATTTTCATCTAATTTATCCTTCAGAGCATCTGAATACCAGCAAGTTGGATCTCTCAGCAATGTTTTCAGGTGCATTAGTGTTTTATTAATGAATTATTTATTTAATTTTACTTAATTATTTTTAATTTGACCAGAGAGACAGAGAGAAAGACAGATTGGGAAAATAAGAAAGCAAACCACCAGGTCTAGGACCCAAACCGTGGTTAGCCACGTAGGAGTCTGGTGCCTTAACCACCACATCACCTGCCGGCCCCAGTAGTGAGTTTTTATTCTATTTTTTAAAAAAGCTTGGTATAGAGTGTATATTCTTGGCAGAGAGAGGAAAAGAAAGTGTGAAATCACCCCTCCCGTGGAGGATGGCCATGTTGTTATCCCTTTTCTTCCATTCTCTCAGAATTTTGGTCATCCACACACATGCACTTGGCATGTTTCTCAAGCCCCAGATCCGTGGCTCTTTGGGACTTGAATTACACATTTGGCCATGTGCGATCCATCCACCTTAACTACCACACTATTGGCTGGCCCATTTTTTTAAATTTTTGTTTTGTGTAACAATTCCAGAGGATGTGGTGTCAATGTTTAACAGCTTGGAAGTATCATCAAAGACTCTGATTCCTTCTTTCTCTCTAATTATTGTGAATTTTTCCATTTCCTAGCTACTCAGTGGATGGCTGTGTCTCCAAGCATCTGTCTGTACAAGGCAAAAGCAAGGAGAGGGGACAGGCCTGACAGCTTTTTTTTTAAATTATTTTATTTAACTTTATTTATTATCATTATTATTTTCCAGTTTGATCAGAGAGACACAGAGAGAGAGAGAGGAAGTGAGAAAGTAAGCCACCAGGTCCGAGACTTGAACCGTGGTCAGCCTTGTGGGAGTCCAGCGCCTTTAATCACCATGCCACTTGCCGGCCCCAGACCTGGCAGCTTTTAACAGCTGTCATGTTGAGCAAGAAAACAAAAGTCTCCCATAAACCCTCCAGTTGACAAATCTCCATTTGTCTCACTGGCCAGAACTGGGCCCCATGGCCGCCTCTAGTGACAAGGGAGTCCTGGAAAGCCAATGCAGGAAAGATGGGATCATTGTCACTCCTCTAGGATAGAAATCATGTTTGCTTTGGTAGAGGAGAAGGCAGAGAGAGCGTATGTTGCAGCAAGACGTTATGTCCTTGTGAACACAGAGCCCCCTCCCCAAGCCCTCTCTCTTTTTCCCTTGAGCAGAACATCAGCTTTCCAAACCAGATGTGGTATCTCGGTTAGAGGAGGCAGAAGAGTTTTGGCCGGTGGAGAGAGGAATTCCTCAAGACACTTTTTCAGGTGAGAACCAGGCACATGGGAGTCCCCATAGGGAATGGGGCAACTAGTTAATCAAGGACATATCTGGGAAAAGAGGTGAGAAATGAGAACACCAAATGGGGGTACTGTAATGACCTGCTGCAGATATGCAGAATCTAGCTCCAAGTTTTCATTTGATCTCAGAGCTTGGTTTACAATAAATCTATTTCTGGAGGCAAGTTGTATGTCAGTTGACAGTAGGGGCTCCCTTACCCCATTCCACTCCTTGTTTACTACCCTACCCTCACATAATCATTGGAACTCTGGTATGTGTCTCCAGTCAGATATTTTAACATATATTTACATCCATATATATAAACAGACATTCATATTTTGGGGATATTAACATATTTAGTAGAGACTCAGTGAAGGTTCACTTCATTCGCTTTAGCACCTTCAATGTAATCTACATGTGATTTTTCCCTTTTGGTGTACGTTTAAGTTATTGTAAAGAACTTTCTTTTGCACATAAGATTGACTTTTCTGTAGATTGGATTTCTAAAAATGAAACTACAGTATCAACCAATATGTAAGCTAAAAACCGTTTCACCATAAGCAATTTATAATGGTCTTAAGTTTTTCAGATCGTACAGGCAAAAGATGATATGTTCACATTAGTTTACAGTTTCCACACAACTGAAGAGGTTGTACATAGGTTCATAAATTTAGGGACTATATGTCATTTTTCTTTCATTTTCCCTTTTTAACATTCCTGTATGATTTATGTGTGCAAGAGAACTCTGCATACACTGGATATTTAAGTTTATTTTCTTTCATGAATGAAAGAGACAGACACCCCTGACAGGTTCTTTATGGCACAATCTATACCCAGCCAGCTCTAGATCATGGACATGCACACCTCGACATGTAAAGGAAAGTGTCTGAAAACAAATCCAGAGCCCTCCCACAAGGTGAACCTCACAGAGCTTTGTGCTAGCATTGCACCACTGTCTGGTCACAAATATTTTTTTTTGTCTTTTCAAATCTGTCTTTGTTCTTGTTCTTGATTCCAAATCCTGTGTAAGTAGATTATCCAGATGCTTTTGTGTAATTCGTTTTTTATTTAGTTCAAATTACGTGAAATTTCCATTTGTATAGGGTAGGGTACAGGTTCTTACAACATCATTTTCTGACTGGGTTCTTCCTCTGGGTTCTTTCTTTATTAGAGACACCATCTTTTGGGACCAGCAGTTGGCGTAATGGCTGTGTCGCTGGACTCCCATGTAGTCAGCTGCAGTTCGAGTCCCGGACCCAAAGGCTTAAACTCATGCTGGGTGCGTGTGTGTGCATGCCCAAAACCCTGAGAGGAGAATGGAGGAGAAGGGGTTGTGGCATGGCCATCCCCCCAAGGGGGTGATTTCTCACTCTCTGTCTCTCTGTGTCTTTCTGGAGAGCACATGCACCCTGTAGCAAATAAAACTCTCAAAAAAAAAGAAAAAAAGAAAAAAACCACCATCTTTATCATGGACTAATTCTTAGTGTCATGTGCAATCCTCTCTGTGGACTCTTCCTTGTGTTCAACTTGATCTTTTCTGAGTCAACACCATGTTGCTGTGCTTACTCTAGCTTTATAATGAGCTTGGCTATATGGCAGCTCCCTCTTAGCTGGCCTCAGCCATTTAGTTTATTTTAGATGAACACTTACTATCAGCTTGTCAGGGTTCATTGAGAAAACTCATTAAGATATATATAACATTTGATTAGACATTCATTGTTGCTATTTGGTAGGATTAGTCTTCCTTCATAGTCTTGCAGTTCTAGATGAACCTGTTATGCTGCTAAATTTTATTACTTGTAACCATTGTGTTATGTTTTCACTAATTTTTCTTATACAAGGTCAAAATCTAAAGGAAGTGGCAGTTAATATCTTTTTTTTTCTTCTCTTGGACAAACATGTAATTGCAGTCATCATCTAGTAGTTCTGAAAATATCGTGAAGCTAAGGATTTGAAAAGGCTCTGGCCTAAATGGGAAAGATTTTGGGGTTTGATGAGTGTGATGGTAGATTGTCTTTTGATTGAACTCAGTTTTTATCTGGATGAAGAAATAGTCATTAGCTTTTTCTGATGAATGAAAATAAGTAACATTCTCTTTGAGGATTTTTCAAGGTGATCATTGGGATTTTCTCCTTTGAACAGTTAATATAATGATGTAATAGAAATGCCCTTGTTGTAATATAGCTGCCTCAGTCTGCGTTGACTTTTGTTAGGATTTTTGTGTCAGTATTCATAAATTAGGTTAGGGAAGTGGTTTTTTGCATGCATTTGCTATTTTTGTCAACTTTTCTATCAGTGTGCTGGTTACAAACCACTCTGGATATTTTACCTCCCATTTGCTGTCTGTGCACTGATACAAGTGGTATTTTTAGCTGCTTGGTTCTAGCAGTGTTCAGCTGTGAAATCTGTGTCTGGTTCCCATCATTGGTAACGATCATCTGTCTGCTATAACAAACGTGAGTCTGTGTGACCTTGTTTCTGATTTTTTCATATTTCATCTTGATGGTTCGTCATTAATGTTCTATGTTTTTTCCACATTCACAGTCCCTCTTCCATTTCCTTTATAGAACATCTGTTTTCTGATCATTCACAGGTCACTAACCTATACCTTACCTGTAATGTCCCCAGTAATGCAAGTATTAATGCAAGGTCATTGGGAAATTCATAGCATATTTCTATGCAAAACTGTCCTGACTTTCCCAATGACTCAGTACTTTGTATCCGTCTATAGCGGTTTCTGTCCCCATGGTTGCCCTTGATGCAAGCTTTTAATATCCTTACAGGTCTTCTGTACTCTGGTTGTGTCTCTTTCTTCCTAGAGCTCAGGTCATGTGTCCGTGGGTAAACCTCCTGGCCATGTACTTTTGGATGATCTAGTACTTCCTCAGATCTAGCTGTTGTGGGGTGCTCGGTGGGAGCCTATGATTCTGCATATCTGGGGAGAGCTGGCACCACAAATGATGGGAGATTCAGGGGTGGTATCCAGGGTGAGAGGTCATGTCAGAAAACTTTTGCAGGCAAGGCCTTAAGTGATAGATGCCCCCAAATTTTCTGCTGTGTCACAAAAAGTCCTTTATGATATGTCTTTTTTCCCCTTTCTCCCCTTCTTTTACCTCACAAATACTTTTGGAAGGCTTCTTTGGTATACTCAAGCAGAATACTAAATATTTGGATGATAAACCAAAGACCTCACATAATCCCTGCCATCATAGACTTCATAGTTTTCATAGCTGGTGGGCTTTTCCAGACAGGGTACACAGATGCAATGATAAATTGTGATAAGTACTGAAAAGGCAAATAGCACAATGTAATGGGGAAGAGCAGAGGGAAATTATTCTAGAAGAGGCAGTGAGGGGACATGGTAGGGATGAATTTAAACAGATTTCTGATAGAAAAGAAGTCTGTAGACATTTAATAGTGGCACTGGAGAGTTTTCAGGCACCACTTGGGTGATGGTGAGATGAGAAAGTGCTTGATACTTACAGGAAAGAGAAAATTGCAAAATGAGCTAGAGTTAGGTAGAAAGTGTATAGACATGCAAGTTAAGTGTGGGAGAGCACACAGGGCCTTATTAGCCGTGAAGGGAGTTTGATGTTCATTCTAAGCAGGGCTATTACAGAGCTCAGTGATGACTTATAAAGAACAGTGGTAGATGGGACCGACAAGTGGGGTGGTTAGCGGTGCTGGACTCCCCCATGGTTGACTGTTTTTTGGGTCCTGGACCTGGCAGCTTGCTTTCTTACTTTCTCTCTCTCTCCCTCTCCCTCTCTCTGCTCCTCTCCATTCAAATTAAAGTAAATAAGTAAGTAATGAATAAAATAATTCTTAAAAAACAAAAACCAAAAAAAAAAGAACAGTGCTAGGGCACAAATGGAGGCAGGCAGTGGCCCTAGTAGCAGCCCTAGTAACAGGGTTGGGAAAGAAGATAGGGGTGATTCATAGGTGGACTCCATGGGAATAGGTGAGTAATTAACTGAGAAGCATGAAGGAAACAACTGAGAATTCCTCATAGGTGAAGGGAAGATTTGAAGGGACCTCCTTTGACTGTTCTTTGTAGTGCATTTATTTACTCCATCCATTCTTTATGTGTGGATGTATCTTGTCTTGTAAAGTATGATAAAGCTATTCTTGAGTTTTTGACATTAGCTAGTGACAGAGATACTTGGTAAAGAAAGGCATAACCTTTTTTGAGATTTTTGTGAGGGGGCAGTTTGGTTTTTTGTTTGTTTTGGTCTTACTTTTTATATTGAAATAATTTTAAACAAAATGTTCCAGTAATATTGGGTTTTTGGAGAAGTCATGATGTTTTTTTATGGAAAGATGTCAGGACTTTTCCAGTGACCCAGTAATATAAAAAACTGCATAGTGGCTTTCATATTGATTCAGGTGTTTGAACCACCCCATGTGTGACTAAACTGTCTCATGTTGTGACTGGGTCTGTGAATTGAATATGAATGAGAGCAGAACATGGAAACATCCAAAGAGGTCACAAAGCCAGTTGAATACACTTCTTTGGACCCAGGAAGGAGGTCTGGGCAGCACATGACAATTTAATAGTCAGAGATGTTTGGAATGGCATGCTTTACAATGAGACAGCTGTCCTTGGAAGTAGCCTCTTTGTCCCATCATTGGCATGGCTATGCATCAGTCATTGATGCACAGAACTAGGATTGAGTATAGAATGAGGCCTTTTTGGAAACTCTATTTGTGTGCCTCTCCAGCTTTCCACAATAGCAAGAATGGCAGTGTAGGCTTTGGTCGTTAAAGTAAAAAGGAGCCTGGGTAAATGCTGAGACAAATGGCATTCATTGCTGAAGAAAGCACTGAACTGGGAAAGATACTGAAAATAAGGAATGTGGAGAAATTAATTAGATGATACTCGAATCTAGAGCTGTCACTTAGTGTCCCTTCAAGAAAGTATTACCATATGTGGAACACTTGAGATGTAAACTAGATTTAATAATTAGGAAAGCATTGAGGGGCAGAG